CATTTAGACATCGAACTGAAAAGTATCAGTAAGAGATTGCTACCTGAGGTCTGAGAGCTACCTCTTATCTATGTAAACAGTAGTTTGTAGTTGTCTTCAAGTCTGTGGGCTCCTCAAAATCGTGCAGTAAAATTTCAGATGCTAATTTGCAGCCAGCTGACATGCCAGCTTTCCTTTTAGAGCAAGCTGTGAAATGTAGTTCAAAACCCGTTTTTTTGGAGCTGTCCTCTGTTGACCGCCCAAGAAGACTGGGACTATGCTTCTTCTGTTATAGGTATAGTTGTTGAATATCTCATGTTAAGCAGGCACAAATAGAGGTAGGAGCTAGGATAACATTACTTACTCAAGGTTCATAAAAACTGAATATTGATGTTGACTGTCATAAATGCTAAGAAGTAGAATACAGAGCTGCTGTCATTTTTTGTTAAATGATGTTGGTGACAAAAGGTTAAGCAAGTTACAGAAAAAAGTAATAAAAATTTCTAATCTTCCAAAGGTTCTCAGTACACCTCCTAACAAGACCAACACTTCGTTAACATGTATTTTCTACATGTTAGACCTTCCAAGAATGTAGTCACAGCCTTAGCTTAGAAACTTTTTTCCAACTTTTATGATAGTGGAATCTACTTTGAAGTTCATTTAATTCATTAAGCAGCTTAGAATACTCACAGTATTTAAAACATGAGTAACCTGCATGAACAAAAGTTGTTTTAAATAACATGTAATGGTATTTGATATTTGTTTTTGGCTGCTTTTTAAATTTTGTGCTGATATTTTTTTTCCTTGCCAACATTTGGATGTTTTCACCTTTAGAATGTATGTCTCAAAACCCAATTATTAGTTATGTAGGTAGACATCTATTCCTTCTCCCCTCTTCCCCCTACTCCCATCACTAGTACTTATCTAGGGCTAAAACTATCATGTTGAATTTTTATTCAAATTTGTTATATGGAGTTTTATTGGCAGAGATCCAATGCAAACCAAAGCATTTTAGAGCCTACAGTTTCACTTAAAGAGAGTCTCTTACAAATACTCTGAAACAATGCAGTTACAGAAGTGGTCTGATTTTGAAATGTACTGAATTACTATAACTTTTATCAAAGCAAGGTTAGATTCAGTGGGCATTGCTTTGCATTATCAGAGGATTTAACTCACTATAAGAAATAATACTATCATCTTCTGAGGATTTTAAAAACAGATCTTGTGTAACAGGGAGTCTACCCAAACTACAACTAGATCTCCAAAAGCATCCACGGATTTGAATCAGGTGAAAAATGTTTTTGCTTATCTTTAATCACAAGACAACAGAAGGTTTTCTTGATGAGTTTAATTTCTGGTACTTTCTGAATCTATTACATGCTAATTAAATGAAAAACTTTGGTTTCAAAAGGTGTGTCACTAATGCACAGATTTTCTGTGATGAAACACAGTCAGTAATGTAACCAGTAAACTCAACTAGAAGACTCAGAACTAGGGAGGGAAAAAAAAGCTTCATTTTGAAATCCCCAGATAATTTCTGCAGAACCACATATTTACTAGGATTTGTATGGTAACTGATGTTTAATTTGGAGCTTCAACAGTGGCTGCTTTTTCCTCCCCACCAACTCTCATCCCAGCAGGCAGCTGCTCCCCAGTCTTCCTCTCACATGAAGCCTAATTTCTTTTTCCAAAGGCCCCAGTCATGCATGTACCACAGTAAAAACCCTGGAAACATGTAAAATATTTCTCATAAATATCGTTAGTCAGCCCGTTACAAGCAGCTTGCGTTCTAACTATTTTTGAGGTTTGACACCACTTCTGTTGTTCCTTCAATCCTCTGCTCTATTACCTTTCTATGGCACGCAGGACAAATTTTTAGCACCTGATTTTCAAACATACCTGCTCAGAAGGATTCTTTTCCTCAATATCTGTCTTCTGAAATAAACCGAATATTGAACATCAAGTGTTAATATTGATCATATTTAAGATCTTCAATTCAAAACCTTCTCTATATCTGTGGAAAAATGTTGGGAAGTGAATCGTGTTCTTTCATGACATCAGAAAACACTTCTGTCTGAACAAAGCTTCAGAATAACACCAAAGCAAAGAGGGAGTTAGTACACTAGCAGATAACACTCAGAAATTTATTCAGAACATACTAAGATGTCCCCTCTGTATCAAAATACCAAACACAGAGACAGCTTCATTCTAAATTTGTCATTATCTTTGGAGAGAAAGTTTTTCATTTGTTAAAACATGCTTATGTAGGTGAGAAATGGTTTTGTTGAGAGGATTATGTTTATGCTCCCAGCCGCTTCTGAACCAATTTCATGAAAACTGGTGACACTTCATTGCAATATTTCTCATTATACTGCAGCGAGGTGGTTCTTCTGACATGCTGTTTGCTTCTACTTAACAGTCATATGCAGATGCAAAAATAATTACCTGAACCAGAAAACTCAAAGCTGTTCTCATTGGCAGTTCCTCATGGTTGCCACTTTAAAGGGAACAAAGTGAAGTCTTAAAATGAAGGTTGCTTACCTTTCATTTTTTCTACAGGTAGAGCCTCAGATGGCTGAACCTTCTCTTTCTCTGCCGGTCTTTTCCTCCTCTGAGCAGGACTATGTAAAGGATTGGGTTGATTCTTGCAGATACAATCAAATTCAGCTCCTGCTTACAGTAAAGTATTTTCCTAGCTATGCTGTTTCCTTTTGTCCATACTTTAAAAAAATCTTCCAAAACGTCTCTTTCCCTTCCCCTCCTCGAATACATCAAAATTTCACCATATCACCTCTATACACAGCCTCTGAAAGTTTCACAGCACAGAGAATCAGTTTCCCACTCCTCTAATCCCAGTTCACAAAAAGTTTGTCTATGTTAGCATTTAGGTTTTTAGGGACTTTTGAAGTGAATGCCCTGCCCAAGTTACTGCTCTCTGGTTCACGTTGCGGAGTGATCTTGGAGGACAAGCACTGGACTCTAGGGTGAAGTTAAGCAATGGGATGCGCTTCAAATGTATGTACCAGATATCAATGGGCCATCAATTTCCAGGGCCAAACTAGAGCTAGTCTGGCAAAAACTCTTCAACACACATTGGGGTCCTCGGTGTTTAGTGGTGTCCTCCGAATTGCTGGTTTCATTCTACAGATCCGCTTCTGTTGCACCCCAATACTTGTTGCAGAAGACATAACCAAAGAGGATAACTTTCAGACTAAACGTAGAGAATGAAAAAAGTTACATTATACTCTACAAGGGTTAAGCAGCAGTAAGACACCCTCCATTATTAAAGGTCATGCTACTGCTCTCAGCTATTGCCCAAGAAGGCTGATGCTCCCAAGCACAAGTACAGGCTGGGCGGAGAATGGATTGAGAGCAGCCTGGAGGAAAAGGACATGGGAGTGCTGGTGGATGAGAAGCTCAACATGAGCCGGCAATGTGCGCTGGCAGCCCAGAAAGCAAATCGTATCCTGGGCTGCATCAAAAGGAGAATGGCCAGCAGGTCGAGGGAGGGGATTCTGCCCCTCTGCTCTGCTCTCGTGAGACCCCACCTGCAGTACTGCATTCAGCTCTGGAGTCCCCAGTGCAAGAAGGACATGGAGCTGCTGGAGTGAGTCCAGAGGAGCGACACAAAGATGATCCGAGGGCTGGAGCACCTCTGCTATGAAGACAGACTGAGAGAGTTGGGGCTGTTCAGCCTGGAGAAGAGAAGGCTCTGGGGTGATCTTATTGCAGCCTTCCAGTACCTAAAGGGGGCCTACAGAAAAGCTGGAGAGGGACTTTTTACAAGGGTATGGAGTGATAGGACAAGGGGCAATGGCTTTCAACTGAAAGAGGGGAGATTTACATTAGAGATAAGGAAGAAATTCTTCACTCAGAGGGTGGTGAGGCACTGGAACAGGTTGCACAGAGAAGTTGTGAATACCCCACCCCTGGAGGTGTTCAAGGCCAGGTTGGATGAGGCTTTGGGCAACCTGGTGTAGTGGAGGGTTTCCCTGCCCATGGCAGGGGGGCTGGAACTAGAGGTCCCTTTGAGGAATCTTTGAGGTCCCTTCCAACTCTAACCATTCTATGATTCTATGCTGAGAGAGATAACAGAGTAGCACTAACGTTTTAGCTTGCAACCTCTTTCCATCCTGTTTTAAAAATGTAGGTCCCAGCTGAACTCAGGGACTTGGTGCAGGTGACACTTTCTTTGCATCCTGTATCAGGTGTGAGCTGTGTAGCATCTAAACTGTTCTGTTGGTACTTAATATCACAAAGACGTAAGACTGCTTTCATCATTGTCAAGGTATGGAAACAAACTTAGCTTCACCATGCTATCCCAAATCCAGGCATTACTGTTATCATGTCCATTTCACAATGGTTGGAAAAAATGCCACCCGTTTTTTGCCATTTGTCTTATACAAATGTACAGCATTAAAACTATTCTACTGGACTTCTTATTAATACCTGAACACAGATTTATAACAGCAGATTAAGAATTTTATGGTCTTTTCCAGGCCCTGGTGTAATCATCTTTTTCTGGTTTTATGTGTAGGTCTGTTGACTTCCAAATAAACCTATTAACAGAGTTTATGCCTGCCATTGTACCTGTCTGGGATCATTCTTACTTGGTGCTATTTTCTGCTCCTCAAATTGTTCATTTTTATCATGAATGGTATTATGATCCCCTGTCAGGGAACAAAATGTATTTTGAGTCAATTTACTAAAATAGTCACTGCTAAGTACTATATCTGGACAAAGTTGACACCTTTGACATTTTCTAAAATGGCAAAACTAACTGTATTTAAGGTATGATTTATGGGTACTGTACGTCAAAGGAATTTCTGTGTTATTACAGTTTCTGATGGAGCCATCCCAACTCCTTCAATGAACAAATTGCTGATAGCACAGCTAATTAATGCTTTATTAGTTTTCTGTGGTCAATTATAACCAGTTATAAAAAAGTACAATGCAATTTAATAATAAAGAACTGTGCGATTCTTGTTTCTTTCTCAGAACTGCTTGGTTTTGTGCATGTGGAAGAAACAATTTCTACATAGTTCAGTTTTATAAGACACATTTCCCCCACTAACTAAGAGCATCTCCTATGATTAAAAAGTAGACTGGAGTCTTTAAATGTCTTTCTGATTGCTGGCCTCTATTAAAAACTTCTTAAAATAATAGATAGGTTTAATTCCTCAAGCCAAAGAAAAATTATATCATCTTAAGTATTTTCCATATTTATTATATTGATGAGACTTGGCTGCAGAGAAAAAAAAAGAAGCAAAATCTCTTGTATTGCAAGTTTTAAATGTACCAGGCTAAGGTTTACTTAATTAGAACCTTCAGGCAATAAAGGAGCCCTTTTTTAAATTCTGTGAATCTTTATATGCTAAATAATGCAAAGCTTCAACTCTTCAAGCATGAGACACACATCTGGCAGCTTAACATTTAAATTACAGAAAAAAAACCACTTCAGTAGTAATTTTCATGAAGAAAAGAATGGGAAATGTATTACAACTAAATTTAATTTCTTTTTAGATTTTTCATCCTGTCTAATTGCAAGCATTTGCCATCTTCTCCTTTATTTATTTATTTTTGTACAGATTTTTTCTGTACTTTTTATTGATCTTTAATTTGAGCAGCTTCTTACTGTTACAGCCATTGAAGAATTACATTGTGTTTTTACTTAGCAAAAATTGTTCAGAGAAATCTATGAGGAATTAAAGTAATGAGCTCACTGGTATAGAAAGAAAAGAGCATTCAGAGCCTTACCAATAAAATATAAAAAGAGCATGTCATGATTAAATAACAAACTTGAGTTCCTTCTCCCTCTCGTTTCTTAAATGTAGAATAATATTGTTTTCTTTATTCTTTTTATTATGCTATTTTTTTTGGCCAAGGTAATTACTGCTTTATTCATTTGTCTCCAAAAATATTGTCAACGTTGTCATTATTTCAGCAAAGCTATTTGGAAACCCATTTCAGTGAGCCAAAATTAAAAAAAAAATAAAGAACAACAAAGAAAACCACAGTAACCCTCTTTACAAAGGTATGTTTATATTTTAATAGGAGTTTGTGGGTTCGTACATATGTCACATATGTGGAATATATGGAGACCATTTGAACTGTTTATACTGCCTGAGTGCACGCACGTGACATGCACAGCAGTTATATTTTATGCAGTTTCACTGATTTTAGTAGACCGCTTCTTTCAACCCAGATGATGTAAATTCCTCTAAATACCTCATTCACTATGAACGCTCAGCATGCATACACCTATACGTGTGTGTATATATATAAAATAAGAAAGATATCCATAGGTGTATATACACAAACACTCAAGGTCAAAACTGTGACATCGTATATGTGTATATTGTATATCTACAACTGTAACACCTAAGAGCAGATCCTGGATGTACTGTGGTTTTTGAGTACACTTGACTGTCTTTTACTAAGGGCAAGTGGAAGTAGGTGAAAAAAAGGTGAAATAATCATTAACTATATTTTTGGCTTATCCCCTGTGTGCTGGACATGAAGAAGTGCAATGCAGACTTTGATTTCTGTTGCACTGCTGCTTCCTACGATGTATGGTTTTGTTCACAGATTCTTGCTTCTCAGGAGTTTGAGGCACACACTACTTGAGTAAACACTGCATAGAAAACATGAGCACTTTGCATCCCTGTGACCCATTTTTAATTAATTAATTCTTAATTCTGGGGGATTGGACTAGATGATCCTTTGAGGTCCCTTCCAATCCCTAACATTCTGTGATTCTCAATCTCAATCCACAACCATCCCCATACAAGAAAACTAACTTCCTTCTCTTTTCCGAAGAACACTTCTGGAGTGTTTACATTACCCTTCACTGTTGTTCTTCTTGTGTCTGTTATTTCTCTGTTTCTGCTTTCGCCCTCCACTTTATTTCTATAGAATTGTTATTTCCAGCACGATAGTTTCTGAACTCTTCTCTGCATTTATCAGCCCAACACTTCTGGAAGGTAGGAGGGAAATAACCATCTATTTATAATTAAGATGGAGGGGAAAAAATGCCCTGCCTGGAGTCAAGCAGGATCTTGGTGGGAGAGGGGACAAAACCTAGCTCCTTCTTTTCCAGACCTTTATCTTATGCGCTGATATAAAAATACTCTTTCTTTTTATATTTTTTTTCTTACAGAGGATGATTTTTACCAGGATTTCCATGGCAGTGCAGACAAGGACTGTGGCTCCTCTCACCTGAAGGAAGGCCAACTAGGACATCACAAGGTACTGGACTTGGTCTGAATGTCATTATCTCTCCCTTAAAGGACACACTAAAACCATTGCAGCTTCTACCTGAGCCATTTAGGAATGATTTGTGGGTTTGCTTCTTCTTGTTGTTTATTTAATCTATCACTGTGAAATTTGTTATAGCTACCATAAGGCTTCACATGACCAGGAGTATTGCTGCCTCCTGCATAGATCTATAGGGAGCCAATCTCTTTCAGCAAAGGAATTTCAAAGGAGTAGTAGGAAAGACCATCCAGCAATCAGCTTGATCAAGGCTGCACTGCAGGATGATATTATTTCAGTAATGTTTAAACACAATATAGATTTCCTATGCATCTATAACCTTCAAGCTCTCATTTCCTTGTGCAGAAGACCCCTACCATCAGATACTTTTAGTATCCTTATTTGTAGTATATTGGTCAAGGACATAATTAACTTGCGAACAAATATTGTGTCATCAGTACAAGTTATCATGAAATCATATCTGCATCATGACAACACCTTCTGCGTGAGATGCCACTGGGACTTTCCAATTTAATGTAAATCCTGAGAACTGAGACACGAAGAAGACTCTGTATTCTTGAAAATTCCTTTCAACTGCATTATTTGTTCTGGATTGGATATTTTCCAATGAAGGATGCAATTTTTCTCTGTAAGCGTTGTTCCACTTCCCTCCTTAGATCAGCATGGTTGCAGTGAACTATAACTGCAAACCTGAATATTCAAATTAATCACTCTGGCAATTTGTCTCACCCTATTCTAGATGTACTCTGAAACATTTTTAACGCTTTTAATTGCACATGAAAAGAAGCCATCGTGGTACTCTGAGTACTCACAAACTCATGTACTATGTGTTTATACCTGTGTACGCACTGTGGCACAAATACTCAACAGCTGGGAGTTATTATCATCACAACTTCGACTTTAGTAGTGTGATGATCTGCATATAAATGTCTATAAGCAAAACCAGATTGGCCAACTGGAAATTCCCTGCATTTTAAATGACTAAGTTTTCAAGTGATTTATTTCTTTAGGGAGGTAAGGATAAACTGGAGAAACCAAACGTAACTGCAGACTGATGTGTGTGTATAGCCTTATATCTATAGGAAGACCGATTTAAGGACCCATGGAGTGGGCGTAATGGGCAACGCAACCCAACCCATGGGAGTGGCAGAGTGAAATTCATTTCCTACAATCCCATAATAGCACATTGTCTTTGAACAAAATGCCGTGCTCTTATAGGAACCTCAGTTGTGGGTGGCTCTCAAAGCCACATTAAAGTGACCTGGTTTCAGCAAGGTGTGTAAGCCCATGGTAATTCAGCACCGTCTTGTCCCTTTGGACTCCATGAAATGACTCACAAGCTTACGGTTATTGACATGTTTAAATAGGTTTCTGAACTAAGCCTCTTATGGGAATACTTCTGCACAAAAGGAATGTGAGCATGTGAAATCTCCTTTCAAAGGTTGTAAGAGCCCCTCTTTTTTAATGGGATGAGTGAACCCTAATGTTCGGAGAGATTCTTGTTTTAGCACGTTCAAGATTTAGACGCTTGATCTGAATTATGTAATTTAGGCCCACTTGTGACTCTGGAACTGAAACCATCTTTTAAAATAATTTTACTCAACAATTGTATATTGGAAGCAACTGCAAATTAATGTGAAGAACAGACTTAAGGTGAAAGACAGAAGTTCATGTAGTGGATTATTTGCCTCAGCTGTCCCTTTTCTTTTCATAAATATTTTTTTTGTTTGGTTGTTTTTTTTTGTAACAAAAGCAAACACAAAAACCTTTGGATCTCACCTCACCTTTTTGGGGAATGTAGGAGATATCAGTAAAAACCAAGGTTTGCCCCTCCTTTTCCCAAATTCATCTATGCTACAGAGTTGCAAATAGTCTCCAGCTGAGTATCTTCTGAGTGATGGGAATTAATCACAACCTAGTTTTTGTTGCAATGAGTATGCACACTTTTGCGTGTATTCAAGATATTAATGAAGGATACAGTGCTCCTGGTCAGTGACTTTTGAGAGAAGGAAAATCTATTCTGTGGATATGGCCATAATCCCATCCTCACGCAGATGACTGAGCTTCTGCTTTTGTGTTCAGACAAGAACAAACACAGTCTCAGAGAAATTCACTTGTAATACTCTAACTCCGTTGGGGTTTATGTCTTAAATAACATTTTTATATCTACTTTGCACAGGGGTAGTTTCATGGAGACAATGTCAGTACAAGCAAGGTGTGTTGCACACACTACCTATAGCATTGCATTTCACTTAGCCTCATGACTGTTCAACCTATTTCCCTAGAAAAAGTTAAGGTTTCAGAGTAGAAGTGGATAGCATGCTCAACGCTATTTTAAAAAAAATAACACCGGCTTTGAGCATGCTACCCACTCTGGTCTGCCTTAACTGTTCACTTTTACACAGAATCACTCTTTGCCAATATATTCCATTGCTTGTGGCAGCTTTTCCTATGACTGCTGAAAATGCAATGATTGTATCACGTTTACTGAAACCATATTTAGTATTATGTAGGTATGGATAGAAACCTCCCTCTGTTATGTCCATAAGCCTTAAATTCAAATTCAAAATGTGGATAAGGCCTATGCAATCCAAGCTTCTCAATACAAATTCACCTTTTACAGCAAAATGGCTTACCAAATTATATAAAAAAAATCTTTTTAGTTTTAATAATTAGCAAAGTATACAGTAATGTGACTGCATGTAATGCTAAAGCTGTTTTCCCTAGTAACTCTGAGATTTTTTAGATGTATAGAGTAAACTTAGATAATTTGTTCATTACGGAGTTCATAAATGTAAAGGTCGAAAAGGACCTTCAAAAGTTTAGTTTGACTTCTAGTGTAGGCTAAGAAATTTCAACCACTTGCTCTGTAAGATCAATAACGTGTTTAAATTATCTCCTATAGTTTCCAGAGATTCATCTTGTCTTGATCTTGAAGGCATCAAGGGATGAGAACCAAAATTTCTCTTTGTGGTTGCCTCTAAACAGTATACTTTCTGTCTCCCTGTCTAAAAGCAAGAACAAAAAGAGAGTCTCGTTTCTGGTTGGAACATAACTGGTTTTATCTTTCAGCCCTGTCTTCCTCCCGGGCTTGTTCATTGCATGTTACAAAAACTCTTAACCGAATTTGGTATTGTGCCTGGGAAAGGTATTAATAGATAGCTTAATGAAGTCACCTGTGGATGTTTAAGTTATGACCTCATTGTGTCCCTTGGTGGAGGTGATGTTTGACCCTCTGTCCAGGGGTGAATAACGCTGAGCATGTGGGGAACCCTCCCATCACCCCAGAGAGAGACAACACCAGTGCTGAATCGGGCCCCGTGAGCGCCAAAATGCCATTCCAGAGATGAGCACAGAATCGGATTCTGTACTTTGTAGCTCAAGGAGTAGTCTAAATCAGCATAAACTGGCACCAGCACTGAAAGATGCAATACTGTCCCTCTCCTCCCTTGTGCTGGCATCAGTGCAGCGCGGCCTGGATCAGAACGGGTCCAGCTGAGAGCTAACCCAGTTGATAGAAGGAAAATAAAAGAAAGAGGCCAAACAACGTTAATTCTGTTTCCAGATCAGCTCCCTTCATATGTTTTACTCTCTGGATGTCCAGGGTTTTGTGCTGACAGAGCGCGGTGTGCAGCACAGGAAAAAGTGAGCAGGTAGAGGAAGGCTGGATGACTTCTGGTGTCAGCATGAGCTTACGCCTCCTTGAGAGGGTTTGCCAAACCACAGCCTCGAAGGAACGTAAGTCAATTGACTGAGCCATACTCTTAAGCGTTCTGAGCCAGGTTTTCCACTGCTGTTTTCCAGGTTTGTTATTGAGTGAAGCTAGAAGTTCAAAACAGGGTGAAACTGGTAGCTCTTACTTTGCTAGCTGTGCCCAGCTACTTACCTTACTCTTCTAACTTGGTTTTTCTTTCCATTTAAAGATCAATTGGAATAACCCATCTGACCAATATTATAAAAAAAAATCAAGTCCTGTGAACAATGCAAGCCCAGAAGAAGGGAAAGCTCCTGCAGAGTGCAATTTTTGCTTGGAGGAGTTAGAGAAATATACCTTTTCTGTGTGGTAAGTAATCTCAGCACCGAATAGTTGCACAACCCAAAAGTATGCCTTGTTATTCTTGTGTTGGAGAGGTATCTACGTTCAGATGAATGTTATTAGGCTGCAAAATCCAATGCATAGGTAGACAATTACCTAATGTCAGTTTGTCTCCTTTGTGCATGCATGTTACGACTGTGACATCATATGTTATTTTTCCACAGAGCTCATTTTTTGTGTGCACGCTATTTATTTGTGTGAGTATTAAGCATTTTGTTTTCTATGTTTTGGTCGTTGTGGCCCCTGGCCTTATTCACAACATGCAGACCCTACCTGGAATTTGGAATTACTGATTTCCTCGTGCTTTCCTTCCCAGTAGAACTTTACAAAAAAGAGTTACTTTTGCTTCACAAAATCATTGTGAAGTAAGGAAGAGGTGTTACTTCACCTCCACAGATAAGGATTTGAGGTAAGGTGTTTCTAGCACTTCTAAGTTACCAAAGACTTGGATTTTCTTTTATGCCTTAGTATTATTTGTGATTGGAATTGATTAGAAGAAGATTGGAAGCGTTTTATGTCTGAGAAAGCAATTTTGACATTGCTACGTTGCTTTGAGAAGCTGCGTCAGGGAAGAAAAGAATGAGGAGTTCTTGCAAAATATTTCAGTGTTTTAAGAGCAATACACTACCTTTCTTGGATGTTACTTTAAATATTATTACTTTTCTCTGTTATAAAATACACAGATGTGGAATGCCTTAAAATGAAAAGATAAATTAAAGTGAAATTTAAAAGACTGCATCAAAATGAAATCTTTTCATTTACTTGTGATTATTTTTCTTGGGATTTCATCTTCAAGGTAGTTGTAAAAGTTGGGCAGTTATTTGTGATTAGTAGAAAACAACGAAGACCTGATCCTTCACTAAATGAAACGATGTGA